TCCGACCCTACTAACTATGAAACTATGAAACTTCAGAACAATATGAAGGGGGTACTACTCCCAGATTAAGGTCATAATAGGAGATGAAGTCCCCAGAGCAAAAAGTGGGGTCCACAAATCACAATTAAACTGGCAGTTTGACACAGACATACCTCATCTGTTACAGCCACCTCCCACCCATTTCCCTCTGTAGTCTCTATTTCCTACCTTCAGCAGTACAATTCAAATTCTTTTTCACAGTTTTACCCCATGCATTGGCAAGAGCAGACAGCACTTTTCCAATTTCAGTGGGCTGTGTTATTTATAAGGGTTCTGTTTAAAAACTGGAATTCATGTTCTCTTAAATACCATAATGCATATGAAGCACCTTACATATAATAATACCATGAAGTTACATCTATTCAGTGTTGGGTGGTGCATTTTTTCCCCACAGGAAAATACAAAGTAATCAAAGGAATCATTTCACCAGTCAGTGATGCATATCGAAAGAAAGGTCTGATCAATGCCAGTCACCGGGTAACCATGGCAAAACTAGCTACGCAAAGCTCAGACTGGGTGGAAGTTGATGACTGGGAAAGCTGTCAGAATGAGTGGTCGGAGACGCTCAAAGTCTTAAGGTATCACACAGCCACACTGAAAAACACATTTATACCTGGAAGAGAATCAGGAAGAGTATAATTTAAAAGGCTACATGGCTAGGTACCAATTCTGCAACCCTTATGACATGACTAGTCCCACTGAAGCCAAAGGGAGTGTCTGTGTGAGCAAGAATTTTTTCCACATAAGTCAGGGTTGTAGTACTAAGCCCTGTAGCAGGTTGACACTCCCTTAGGCAGAATCAGGAGCCAGTTTCCTCATAAAACTAGTGAGTTCTTAGTTCTAGTCCTTTTATTATCCATATGGAAAGCTTCTTACTACAGGTACGAAGACAAAAATCAAACCTCTGGTGTTCCTTCAGAGCTGGAGGAGCAACACAGTCCTTGTGCTTCTCCCTAAGCACCAGTCTCCTCTCCTCCCCCAGCTTTCCTTCCTGGGAGCTCTTAACTTCCTCTGAGCCCAGCACATCATCTCTGTCAGCTGAGCCAGTGGTCTTAAGCAGGTAGGCTATTCCCCTTAATCCTCTGCAGCTGGGTTCCAGCCCCACATACAGCTGTATGACGAGTCTCTGAACAGATGAACATTTCCATGTCATTTATTTACACACTTTTTGGTAAGTTTTAGTGCTGAAAAAGGTGGGGGACTCAACAGTGGCTCAAGCCAGGAGTAGAGTGGCAACACGCTCCGCAGGCTTCCCCCATTCAACTCTGCTGATGCCCAGTGCTGCTCTGAGGTACTTTTAAAAGGTACTATGAGAATCTCCTAAAGGAATGTCTTTTTTTTGATCTTCTTGTCTATAAGGCTTAAGCTGTTTCCCTAGTAGTGCTCCTGTCCCTGCCTTCCTACTTTAGGTGGTTTCTGACACTCTGACTGTATTTGGTTTCTTCCTTTTTTAAAATAAACTTACTTTGTTGATCCTCTACCTGGCCCCGGCATGTTGGCCTTCATAGGACTCAGATCTTGCAGTCCATGGTCAGAGCAGATCAGTTCTTGGATAAGAGGCATACAGGGAAAGTACTGGGTACTGCAAGAGGCAGCAATGAAAAGTTATACAGTAGGTGGTATTCTTCCTGCTCTATCGCACACTTCTAATACTCTCTGCAATTAATTTTTTTTGTAGATACTATCATCAGAAATGTATGTCTTCTAATCCTACTAACAGCCCACAGAGGACTGCCCCTTTTACAAAGCCAGGACGGAAGAGAAAAAAGGAAGGAAATAGTCATGTTCCCATTAAAAAGAATCAACAAAACCCAGGAACAAAGAGTTAAGTGCATTTGTAAAAGCAATCCCTATAAGAATGCTTTTTTTCATTCCACAGGACTCTGTTCTAAGGAAGCCTTTTCCTTTTACTGTTATCTTTCAAAAGCACCTTATTTTATTACAGAACGTTAGCTTAACCTGCACATCTGTGTGGTTAAAGATCTAAAGTGAACTGACTCGCTTAAGTCCTGGAGACCCTTCATTCACACTTCTTGATTTCTGCCAGTGAGCCCCTTTTACTCTTCCACACTGTATTTTTCCCCATGTTTTGTCTGTGTGTTGTTTTTTGCATTTTTTTAAATCCGTTTTCTATCAGTTTTTCACGTTAGTCTCCCCTGGCTAGAAGCTACTAGTGTCAGCCACACACGAAAGATAAAAAAGTAGCAAACAAAAGGAACTAACATTTTGCAGTAGGCCTGTGTAAAGTGGCTAGTATTCACTTCCGATTTAGATTCAGTCGATTCGGGGAACAGTGATTTGATTTGGTGATTCAAATCGCTGTCCCGAATCAGCCAGGTGAGGCCCATCCCTCGCCCGCTCTCCCAGCCCATGCCCGCCCCAGCTCCTGGCACTTGGAAGAAAAAACCTGGACTCAGAGGTTGCTGCTGGGTGGGGGGCAATCCCTGCTGCCCCCCACTCCCCATGCTGCATGGGGGGCTCTGCACAAATCCCCTGACCCTTCCCTGCTCCCCCAGTGCCCCACTTTGGCTACTCTACCCGCCCCAGCTCTGGCCCTTTAAAAAACAAAACAAAACAAAACTGAGAAACCCCCCCTCCGGACTCGCTGTTCCTGCTGGTGGGGGGCGATCCCCACTGTCCCCCGCTGTATGGGGGGCTCTTCCATGAGCCCCCCTGAAGCCTCAAGGCAACTGCAGGAGCGGTGAGCCCTGGATTTTTCTCGGGCGGGGGGTTTCTTAAAGGGCCGGAGCTGGGGCAGGCAGGGCAGCCATGAGTGGGGCTGGGACAGCGGGGGGGAGGGCAGGGGAGTCGGGGGACTTGTGCAGAGCCCCTCATGCAGCGTGGGAAAGTGGGGGGCAGCAAGGATTGCCTCCCCGCCTGGCAACACCCCATGAGTCACCAGGAGCTGGGGCGGGCAGGACAGCCATGGGAGGCTGGGGGAGCAGGCAGGGGATGGAGCCTTGCAGGGAATCTTTTCCGAAGATTCGGAGAGCTTTGAATTGATTCAGACCTTTTTATTGGTCCCCTGATTCGACTCGGAATTGCAGACTCAGCCACTGAATCAGTCTGAATCTTCTCCGAATCGAATCGGCACCCGAAGCTTCGCACGGCCCTATTGCGGAGGATTTCTCAGCCTGTAAAAAGGAAGGGTGCATTACTACATTCCTGTCACCAGGTGGCACCATGTGAAGTTGTAAATCAGTGGCATTCCCAAGCTCACTTCCATTTGGACAGTTCCTACTGGTAGGAACTGCGAGCTTCTTCTTTAAAATATATACACACCCTGAGGTGAGCGCACAGTCAGTTTTGGAATATAAAATCAGGAAAAGGGAAGAAACTAGGTTTCTAATTGTTTTTTCCTCCTCTAACCCCAGAGGAATGTCAGATAAGTATGCATTAGAAACCCCTCTGGATGTTACTCTTCTGTAGAGCTCTCTGTCACTTCTAATCTGCACAGTGACAGCCTGCTTTTTCAGAAGGCCAGTAGAGGACTGTTCCTTGGAGTATATTATCCAGTACTTTTGGCCAAGTAACAGGGGGTTTACTATTTCCTGTGGAAAAATAACCTGTTCAGAGGCTAATACTAATCGTTAGAATACATTTTTTTCTTTTGTTCCTTTTTTTTTAATGCTCAGCCTGAAAGTTCCTTTTCTTAATTCCACCTCTTTTATCTCAACTTTTGCCAGGATATGGAGAGGTAGCTTAAAAATTAAATGTTCTTGTTGAGTAAGAAAATAGCACAGTGACTAAAGCCACGTCCTTGTTCATCCCCCTTCTCTAGGTGTCCCACAGATTAAGCTACTGTGTGGCAGTGACATAGTAGAATCCTTTGGAGTGCCCAACCTATGGAAATCGGAAGACATCACTGAAATTGTGGCAGACTATGGTCTTGTGTGCATCAACAGGGCTGGATACAATGTCCAGAAATTTATCTACGAGTCCGACATACTGTGGGAACACAGGCATAACATTCACTTGGTGGACGAGTGGATCACCAATGATATCTCCTCTACCAAGATCCGCAGAGCACTACGGAGACGCCAGAGTATCAGGTATTTGGTACCTGATGCAGTTCAGGCTTACATTGAAAAACATGATCTATATAGTCCAGGGAGCGAAGACAAGAATGCTGAGGAAATTCTGGCTCCTTTACAGAAACATGCAAGTTCAAAGCAGTAGCAGACTTGTAATCAGTCCTTCTTTCTTTATGCTGTAAAAATGGAAAGATGTTTGAACTTTTCTAGTGAATCTGCATGCAACTGCTGTGGAATTTAGCTGGAGTTTTGTGTTCACAAGGATTCAAAAGTGCACAAGGTTTGGGCCTCCACCATTTAGGAGCTTGATTTCCTTCAATGTCTTCCACCTTACTGTTGTCATTTACCATTGTTCAGAGTGAGAATAAATTGGGTGCAAAATGTTTTACCTTCACTTTGCCAAAGTAGAAATGGCAACAAAAGAGGCAAGGCAATGGAAAAATCACAGCAAAGCTTAAGCTTTTACATTTAAGTTTAGTAAAAACTACTGTTACATATCTTTATGGATTTTTTTTTTATACATTCAGCAAAAAAATGTTTACGTGTGCGTGCGCGCACACATTTAAATATTTTCACAAAGGAATGTGAATAAAGCATGACAAACTCTGGTGCGTGAATACCTGGAAGTGAAACTGCCTGGAAATGGATTGAACTAATCTGTTTATTTTCCCAGTTCAGAGAGAGTAATAGCAGTTTAAATAATTTCCAGTACTGTAAAAACATCATGAAAAATGAACAAGATTTCCGGAGAAAACCGCAGTTGGCTGAGAAAAATAAAAGTTGCAGCTGCAGACTGTAACCCCTTGGATCCAAAATAAACCTGCGCTGTAACCCAGGAAACTTTAGCCTGGCTCCAACCTGGGGTAACATCCCCCAGGGCAAGTTAGTTTCTTCTCAGGACAGCTATTGGTTTGCACCTGCCTGCTCTGAAGAAGTTACCTCCAAGCTTTTGGCTTAAGGGTCTCTGTCTTGGAGTGGCTCTGGGAGTAGCGTTAGAGCCCAACAAAAGCAAAATCATTTCAAGACAGTTACCCTCCAGCTGTCTTGTGCTTTATTTGAAAGCTTGATAACCTTTTTAAAAAACTGTTACATTTCCTTTCTTATCAGTGATACAGAGTAATTACCATACACCAAAATCCGGAGCATATAGTCTTACTCATTTCAAATACTTTATTGTTCCCACAGTATTATGTCATAAAAGAAAGAACAATGAGAAGGATTGAAAGCCACTTGCTAGAAAAAAATGTACATTGTAGCACCAGCAGCATTGTCACAGCTGAATGGTTTAAACAAGAAGGGATAGCATGAGATGAGCCTCCAGCTAGATACAAAGGCAGTGAATAACTTCATTCCTTTGTTTCCCCCTAGAGGCCTTAGTCTTTGAGATATGTTTAGTGCTAATCAGGAGCAGGAAATGGTATCATAATTGCCTTATTTTAAGCTCAACAGTGTTTCTCATGAAGAGACAGACCTATTTCAGAATCTCAGTCCAGCTACTGCTTTAATAAGTAAAGGCTAAGAATGGCGGTATTGCACTGATGTACTGTAAATGACTGCTTTTTTTCAAAGGATGAATAAGATTTGATTTCTGCACCCAGCCGGAATTGCTTTTTGTAAGTGGAAATGAGGAGGAAAGAACAGGATTTCAATGTTAACTAAATATGTAAGTTTTTATTTACTAAAAATCGGTTTCTGAAGTGACCAAAAAGCAAAACAAAGTAATCTATGCGAGTATTTTAGTGTGAGCTAGAACGCACTGTAAAGCTTGAAAATACTAGTGAATTCTATTTCCTCTTTTCCATCACTCTCCGCTGTCTGGGTGAATTAAGTGCCTTACCAAAAATTCTGGGACTTACTGAGCTATTGTCTAAATAGAATAAGGATGCTGTTGACCTATTGTCTCTCCAACAGTGCTCTCAGGTGAACAGTGCATGGCCTGTCCAAATGGACATACACATGATGGAATTCTTTTGTGCTTTAAAACCTCTTTTGGTTCCTGCCCATCACTAACCTAGGAGCATCTGCAAGGTTGTTTTTTTTAATATGGCAAGATGAGATTAAACTAACACTAAGTGCATTTCTAATTCTGCAAAGTGGCAAAAATTGTGTCAGGTATTTGTTCTCAGTGATTTTCAGATCAAATGTATTCAGTTCACAACAGGTACAGCTATGCAAATCCCCACTGGGTTTTGAAAGACAACAGCTTGTGCATCATCAGCTATCCTAGGCCAAGTTATGCTTCAGTGTTGACTCAGCAATCCCACATCTTTAACTATTTGGACCTTGGTAAATGGTTTTATTGATGTTGCACAGGAAGGGAAAAAATCCATCTTCTACTTTCAAGCTCTCTCTCTTTCTCTTCCTTCTCCCTGCCCCCCGCTACATTGATTTTGCCAAATTGACAAAAAGGAGTCCAGATTTAGTTCTAATAAATAAAGAAAGTTAGCTAATGTACCTGTGAATACACAGACAGAGCAGACCTCTTAAGCAAGTTCACAGACAACAAAACTGGGAAAGATTATGAACACACTGGAGGATGCAAGCGCAATTCAGAAGGATCTCAACAGACTGGAAAGTTGGGCTAGAGCTAACAAGATGAAGTTCAATGCAGACAAGTGTAAGGTACTACACCTTAAGAGGAATAATCAAAAATACAAATACAATATGTGATGGCTGGATGGCAGTTCTTTGGAAAACAAACTAGGAGCCTTGGTAGATCACACACTCTATGTGAGTCTGCATCAATAGAAGCATTAGGTGTAAGACAGGAGGTGATAGTGCCTCTCTACTTGGAACTGGTTAGGCCTCATTTGGGATACTGTGTGAAGTTCTGGGCTCCACTTTTTAAAAAGGATGGGGAGAAGTTAGAGCAGGTCCAGAGACAGGCAACAGAGAAAGCACCGTTTCTCTCTTGCTGCAGAGAGGAGGACATGAACCAATGGCTTGAAGTTGCAGCAAAATAAATTTAAATTAAATACCCTGAGAAACTTCTTCACTGTTGGAAAAGTGAGGTAGTGGAAAAGACTGCCTAGGAAAATTGTGGACTCTCCATCACTGGTGCTGTTCAAGAAGAGGTTGGTCAGGGGTGATCTAGGTGTAGCTATTCTCCTATTTTCTACCATGGGTATTTCCCATGCTTCTGGGCTTTGCTGGTTGCCCCTCTCCTCCTCTTTTTCTACTATATGTGTTAGATCGTTTCTCTACAGAGAGGCTATACTCAGAAACTTATCCCTCAAAACTTCTGAATATTCTGCACCAAATGTTTCTTTTTTGCTTATATTGTCCCCCCCACTTGCGTTTGTCTCCAGACTCTTCCTCCTTACCCAGATCTGCTCCACTCCCAACAATCCTCTATTTGTTTAACTTCTTGAAACAGTGCTTTTAGCGACAGGTAAGGGCTTGACTCTGTGTACATAAACTTGCAAAGAGAATAGGCCTGATGAGTAGGTAATCAGGTCTGTTATCTCATCTCCATATACTGCTGTTATCAAGGATGCTATCTCTGGAGACAGCAATGCACAGTTTGAGAAATGAAACTAAACATCACAGAGATGCTTAATGGGATCTTCTAGACTGAGCACTGAGTCTCATTGAGTAGAGTAATTTTCTTTAATCTTTACTAATCTATAGAGGAGCCTCTGGGAACCATAAAGTTGGGCTCCTAATATATTCCATGGCACGTTGTGACCTATTTATAAAACTTTTTAAAAAAGTTTACATGAATATATTGTCAGAAAGAGTATATAATTAGAAGTTATAATCCCTATCCCATGATGATATCTTTGAGCTCTAACATATCCTAAATTAAAACTATATTTATATAGGTTTATTTTTTTAAAAAAGCATCTAAATAAAAATAAAAATATGATTAAAACAAAAAATCAGAATTGAATAAAAAATTCATTTTTTTTTTTTTATATATAGTTTTAAAATAACTGATTTTTATCCACCCTGTATGGGATGGTTTGGATAGGGATGATCCTGCCTCAGGCAGGGGGTTGGACTAGCTGACCTCTGGAGGTCTCTTCCAGCCCTACTTCTCTATGACTGTATGACTCTTTTCAGTAAAAGAATACCATGTTTGGATAGCCACTTTTCAGAGTACAACGGCACTGGAAATCTCAGCTTTACCCTTGCAAATCATGGTGCTGGTGTATTTTGCTGCATTTTGTGTAACCGTAGAGAAAAATGTACCAAACAGGATGACCAATAATATTATGACATAAACAAGTTATGTTTTGCTAGCATTTCAGGCAGTTGTGTGTAACAAGCCTTTTAATAAAGTGACTTTTATGTGATAAGCAAGTCTGTCAATTTGTCTACCGGTAATCATATAATGAATCAATTCTTTGGCCTGAATCCTGCAATATTTTCTGCATGGACCCTTACCACCAACACTCACTGTCTTTGGGATTCACCACTGGTGTAAGGATCTGCCTATGCAGATCCTTTCTGGAAACAATTTGCTGGACTGAAGTCACAGTTTTCCCTTGATATGAGTTCATAAAAATATGAGTTCATGAAATTATTTTTGCTAAAACACCTTTTCCTAATTTAAATACTTGAGTGTCAAAATTTATATTGTAGCACCAGCAGCATTGTCATAGCTCAGGGGGTGGGCAATTATTTTGGGTGGAGAGCTGCTTATAGTTTTGGCAAGCCTTCGAAGGCTGCATGACAGGCCTGGTGGGCTATATCCAGCCTGCAGGCCACATTTTGCCCACCCCTGTCATAGCTGAATGGTTTAAACAAGAAAGGGTAGCATGACTACTGATTGGTAAATGTTTATCAATTTGTATCTTCACCCAGCATTGGCTCATGTCATTAGAATGTATTTGTAAGACTCCCATCTAATTTCACTTGGCTTGGATGTGTCACTCAGTTAATTTCTTGGCTATTAGGGCTATTTTAGAATTGCTACCTTCTCCATAATAACAGGTGTGAACTTAGTTAGCATGGCTCAGTAGATAACATTCTTGCCTCTGGGCAAAATGGAATGACACTTAAATCCAACCTTTAAAACAGGGGTGTCAAAGCTACATGTCCAGCCCACGGATCCCTGTCATCCAGCCCACAATGCTGTCTGTGGGTCTTAGGCTGACACACTGCATGTGAAGCCTGTCTGGCACGTGCTGCACACAATGTGCAGGCAGGTGCCAGCGCATGCTTCATGCAGCATGCAGAGGATCTCCATCCCAGCCTTCTCCCTGTACCTCCACCATTTTTTTTTTTCTCTTTACCTGAGTACATGAACTAAACTGAAGACATTCCTGAGGTGGGAGGGAACCTGCGCCCTTTGTCTCAAGTTTCCCACTCTTGCTGGCCAGGTGATGACCAGGTCTCTTACCTATCACTCTAGTTGCTAAGCAACCCCCTAGCCTACATGTGAGACCTCAGGTGTTAGGGAGGGGACTTAAACCTCTATTGTCTTAGCAAAGACCTCATAACTGGGAGGGGGGCTCGTGCCCCTGCCAGTCTACCTGGCAACCAGTGATGCATTGCCAACTGATTGGTTTGTAGCCAATTTCAGTTAGTCTCCATTGGACCCCAGAGTGAGGTCATAAGGTCTATCTAAGTTAAAGACTGCCCAGGAGGAGGGGCAGCAGCCACGATGAAGACACAGATGAGCTGGACATCTGCAGCCCTCTCTCTCTCTCTCTCTGGAAACGCATGGATGGACACACTATGAACTTCCTGCCTCCAGAGGAAAGTTCTGCCAGCCTCTCAATGATACTTGTGAGTAAACTACATGAGATCTAACTAGATATATAGCTTGCAGTAACTCAGATGCATGTTCAAAGGCTACCCAGCCACCCTGTTTGCTCTAAGGTATTTATCTGATATTGCTCTATCCTGTACCCTACTCCAAACCTACTCCTTGTAATCAATAAAATTCTCCTACGTACCTCATGTGGGAGACTTATTGGGAGAGGATGCAGATTATGCCTTGGGCTCCCCTTGGTCTGGCTGACTAAGGAAGACTACTATTTGTGCTTCAGGCTAAGGGAAGCAACCCAAGTTCTTGCAAGTCCCCTCTAGGACTACTAGGCCTGTGTTTCCCAGGGGGCACAGGGCCAATAACAGTCCAGACCCTGGGTGGTGGGAGCAGTGGTCCCAGGCTTGCAGATGTGCTCCAGGGAGGGCGTTGGCTGGACATGGGATGCCCCCAGGGAGGCACTCAGAGCCTGGAAGGTGGTTGGGCGCAGTGAGGTGTGTGATTCAGTGCACCTCCTATT